TGGAAGCGGTTCTGGACACGCTAAGACAGGCTGGTCTCACAGCCAACCCAGCCAAGTGTGCTATAGGGCTAGCCGAGGCTAAATACCTTGGCTACATTGTAGGAAGGGGCATGGTCAAGGCCCAACTAAACAAACTAGAGGCTATCCAAAATTGGCCCCGGCCGAATCGGAAAAAGCAAGTCCGGGCATTCCTGGGTGCGATGGGGTACTATCGACGATTTATTCCCCATTTTGCTACCAGAGCGAGTCCCCTGACAGACCTGATAAAAGTCCGGGGTCCAGACATGGTGAAGTGGGCAGATGCTGCAGAGAAAGCATTCATGGATCTACAGACAGCCCTCTGCAGTAACCCCGTGCTTATAGCCCCAGACTTCAACAAAGAATTCATTTTACAAACAGATGCATCTGAAGTAGGATTGGGAGCTGTCCTATCGCAGATGGTCGGAGATGAAGAACAACCAATCTGCTACCTCAGCAGGAAACTCCTCCCGAGAGAGCAGAAGTATGCCGTGGTTGAAAGAGAGTGCCTAGCTGTGAAATGGGCCATGGAAACACTATGTTATTACCTTCTGGGATGACGGTTTACCCTTGTGACCAACCATGCACCCCTCCAGTGGATGCAGCGAAATAAAGAGAAGAACGCAAGGGTGACCAGATGGTTCCTCTCCCTACAACCTTTCCAATTCACCATACAACACCGGGCTGGAAGCCACCATGGCAATGCAGATGGCTTATCACAAGTACACTGCCTGACGTCCCAAGTTGCCCAACCCCGTAGTGTTGAGCAGAGGGGGGGATATATGACAGGGTTGGGCCAGATGGCTATAGGAGAGTAATAGAAGGCAGATATATTAGCCCCACGTTAAGTAGGTCCCTTTCCTCTGGGTAAGGTAACAGGGAAGGTTCCAGAACAATCAGGAACCTTCTGGAGACAATTAAGACAGGCTGATTAGAACACCTGCAGCCAATCAAGAAGCTGCTAGAATCAATTAAGGCAGGCTAATCAGGGCACCTGGGTTTTAAAAAGGAGCTCACTTCAGTCTGTGGTGTGCGTATGAGGAGCTGGGAACAAGAGGCGCTAGGAGCTGAGAGTGAGAACGCGGACTGTTGGAGGACTGAGGTGCACAAGCATTATCAGACACCAGGCGGAAGGTCCTATGGTGGGGATAAAGAAGGGGTTGGGAGGAGGCCATGGGGAAGTAGCCCAGGGAGTTGTAGCTGTCGCACAGCTGTTCCAGGAGGCACTCTAGACAGCTGCGTTCCACAGGGCCCTGGGCTGGAACCCGGAGTAGAGGGCAGGCCCGGGTTCCCCCCAAACCTCCCAACTCCTGGTCAGACACAGGAGGAGTCGACCTGGACTGTGAATTCAGAAAAATGGCCAAGCTGAGGGCTGCCGTGAAGCTCCAAGGCGAGCAAATCCGCCAATAAGCGCAAGACCCACCAAGGTAGAGCAGGAACTTTGTCACTATATATACACACACACACACACACACACACACACACAGAGGATAAGTTTTAAACAATTTAATACTGTACACAGCAATGATGATTGTGAAGCTTGGTTGAGGTGGTGAAGTCAGAGGGTGGAAGAGGAAGAGTGCCTTACTGCTAAATGATGAACTAGCATTCGGCTGAGTCCTCAAGGGTTAACACATTGTTAATGTAGCCTCACACTCTACAAGACAGCAGGAATGGAGGGAGGGGAGAGAGCCTAGCAGAGAGAGACACACACCCTGTGTCTGGGGAGGGGGAGAGGGGGGGAAGAGAAAGGGGGGTGCATTGCCCCTTTAAGTATGCTAACCCCACTCTAAGCACACTGCCTTTAAAAAAATCAGGAAGTTGAGACAGCAGCTGTGGCCAGCAAGCTCCCTCCGTCCTGAGCCCTGTCCTGTCCCCACCCTGCTCTATATAGAGAATGGGTAAGCGGGGGGCAGGAGTGGGGGGGAAGGGGGACACCCTGAGATTAGCCCCCCTCTTGCTCCCTCCCCTGCACAGCAGGCAGGAGGCTCTCGGGAGCAGCTCCAGGGCAGAGAGCAGCAGCACATGGCAGTTGGGGGAGGGACAGCTGAACTGCTGGGAATTGGTAGCGGCTGCTGCACAGGGAACTTAGGGGAGCAGGGAGCTGATGGGGGGCTGCCGGCCCACCCTGGTTCCAAGCCCCCACCAGCTCACTGCAACAGGCTGCTCTTCCTGCAAGCAGTGGAGAAAGCAGGTGGCTGCCAAACAACCTTATAAGGGAGCATTGCAGTACTTTAAACGAGCATGTTCCCTAATTGATCAGCAACGTAACAATGTTAACCAGGACGACTTTAAGTGAGGAGTTACTGTAGTTGAAGGCTGCTATCAAATCCCTGCTCACTCTTCTCTTCTGCAGACTAAATAACCCCAGTTCCCTCAGCCTCTCCTCATAAGTCATGTGCTCCAGCCCCCTAATCATTTTTGTTGCCCTCCACTGGACTCTTTCCAATTTGTCCACGTCCCTTCTGTAAGGACCCCAAACTGGACACAATACTCCAGCTGAGGCCTCACCAGTCCCGAAAAGAGGGGAATAATCACTTCCCTCGATCTGCTGGCAATGCTCCTACTAATGCTCTTGTTTCAGGCTCTCTGCAGACTCAACACTGCATCACCAATTCCACTCACTCATATTTTGAAGGTTATCCTTGCAAACATGAGAGCTAGAAACACATATATTCAATGAAAGCTGAGATTCTGGGGCAAAGGAGTGAATTTGAAACAAATTCTGCTGTTGTGGAATCGTAGGCCCTTGACAATACGTTACGATTAAACACAATCGTTTATGCACAATCGTTCTATTCCTTGCAACTGAAAGGGTTGAATGGGGGGAGAGCAGCACAGGTATCTGTCATTTTCAAGCCCTATTTTTATAAAGGTGACCAACAAAAGGGGGGAAATGGGGTACGTGCCTCATTTTTTGCTTCTTTAAGATGTTTAAAGAAAGCTTGAAAGGAGTTTCTGTACACGCTTCTTGTGCTGCTTATTTTTTAGAAAATACAAATACCTTATACCTTAAAAATATCAGGAATGTCAAGTTTCATGATCCTTCATTTTGTCTGAATAAAAATCCCTTCCTCTTCCCCTTCCTTGCATATCTTTGGTATCTATGTTGTCATAAATCTACTAGTCCTCCATTTACCCATAAAGTTCCCTGACAAGGCCTGAATTTCTAAGGTAAAAACAAGCCGCGGGAAAAATACTTTTTTTTCTGGGGTGAAAAAAATCTTTCATGTCTTCTTTAACCAAGGGGGGGCCAAATATTTTCTTCCTTTACAAATCCCCTTTACTGTGAGCTGTGGCCACAAGAGACTGCATCTCAAAGCACACGTTGCCACAAGTGGTCTGTCATCAGGAGACAGGCACTATACAAAACCTGAGATAGACTGATGCTCCCTCTCAATCTGGGCAGGCTCTTCAGAACATAAGAACATAAGACTGGCCATACTGGGTCAGACCAAAAGTCCACCCAGCCCAGTATCCTGCCTACCGACAGTGGCCAATGCCAGGTGCCCCAGAGGGAGTGAACCTAACAGGTAATGATCAAGTGAGGTCTCTCCTGCCATCCATCTCCACCCTCTGATAACCAGAGGCTAGGGACACCATTTCTTACCCATCCTGGCTAATAGCCATTAATGGACTTAACCTCCATGAATTTATGCTTATGCTCAAATAAATTGGTTAGTCTCTAAGGTGCCACAAGTACTCCTTTTCTTTTTGCGAATACACACTAACACGGCTGCTACTCTGAAACATGAATTTATCCAGTTCTCTTTTAAACCCTGTTATAGTCCTAGACTTCACAACCTCCTCCGGCAAGGAGTTCCACAGGTTGACTGTGCGCTGAGTGAAGAACTTCCTTTTATTTGTTTTAAACCTGCTGCCCATTAATTTCATTTGGTGGTCCCCAGTTCTTATATTATGGGAACAAGTAAATACCTTTTCCTTATTCACTTTCTCCACAGCACTCATGATTTTATAGACCTCTATCACATCCCCCCTTAGACTCCTCTTTTCCAAGCTGAAAAGTCCTGGCCTCTTTAATCCCTCCTCATATGGGACCTGTTCCAAACACCTCATCATTTTAGTTGCCCTTTTCTGAACCTTTTCTAATGCCAGTATATCTTTTTGGAGATGAAGGGACCACATCTGTACGGAGTATTCAAGATGTGGGCATACCATGGATTTATAGAAGGGCAATAAGATATTCTTCATCTTACACTCTATTCCTTTTTTAATGAGTCCTAACATCCCGTTTGCTTTTTTGACTGCCGCTGTACACTGCGTGGACATCTTTAGAGAACTATCCATGATGACTCCAAGATCTTTCTCCTGATTACTTGTAGCTAAATTAGCCCCCATCATATTGTATTTTTTCCAATGTGCATTACTTTACATTTCTCCACGTTAAATTTCATTTGCCATTTTGTTGCCCAATCGCTTAGTTTTGTGAGATCTTTTTGAAGTTCTTCACAGTCTGTTTTGGTCTTAACTATCTTGAGCAGTTTAGAATCATCTGTGAATTTTGCCACCTTGCTGTTTACCCCTTTCTCCAGATCATTTATGAATAGGTTTAATAGGATTGGTTCTAGGACTGACCCTTGGGGAACACCACTAGTTACCCCTCTCCATTCTGAAAACTGACCATTTATTCCTACCCTTTGTTCCCTGTCTTTTAACCAGTTCTCAATCCATGAAAGGATCTTCCCTCTTATCCCATGACAACTTAATTTACGTAAGAGCCTTTGGTGAGGGACCTTGTCAAAGGCTTTCTGGAAATCTAAGTACACCATGTCCACTGGATCCCCCTTGTCCACATGTTTGTTGACCCCCTCAAAAAACTCTAAGAGATTAGTAAGACATGATCTCCCTTTACAGAAACCATGTTGGCTTTTGCGCAACAATTTATGTTCTTCTATGTGTCTGACAATTTTATTCTTTACTATTGTTTCAACTAATTTGCCCGGTACTGACGTTAGACTTACCGGTCTGTAATTGCCAGGATCACCTCTAGAGCCCTTCTTAAATATTGGCATTACATTAGCTATCTTCCAGTCATTGGGTACAGTAGCTGATTTAAAGGACAGGTTACAAACCAACCATAGTTAATAGTTCCGCAATTTCACATTTGATTTCTTTCAGAGCTCTTGGGTGAATGCCATCTGGTCCCGGTGACTTGTTACTGTTAAGTTTCTCAATTAATTCCAAAACCTCCTCTTGTGTCATAATAAGAGCACTGTATACTGGGACCAGTTGTCTTCATCTCCATATTAGAGATAACAAGCAACTACAATTTGTTTCACTTCATGCACGTTTGTGGTGGCTCTTGGAAAATTGTGGGCACCATTTTTTCTAGTGGAGGGTATGCACATACACCCCTCTGTGTGCATTATCGCATCTCCAGCAAGGCTATTAAAAGACACACACAAAATGAGAACTACTATTGAATAAATGCAAGGAAATAAGCTTCAGCTACTAAATTAATACTACAAACATTTCTAAGAAGCTCTGGTGCTGCTGTAGAGTCCCTTTGGCCTGATTACAGCTTAAATTGTTTTGCCAGATCCTCAGGTTGTGACTAAGCGGTAGCTGTTTTGCATGCATGCTATTTTCTGTATGCTGCAGTTCATCTGTTGCTTGATTTTCTTTTTGCCATCAGTGGCATTTTGAATATCTCCCTCATTGAAGAACACTCCCATGAAGCCCACATTTTACGTACCCTCTCAAATTTGCATTCGGCACTCAGATACTGTAGTGAGGAGGGCTGCTCAACTACCAGATAGGCAGGTTCCGTTTCCCAGTTTCTCATTAGGTCCTTAGGCCTTCGCAACATTAGCCTTCCTAAGCAAAGCACATGAATCTAAAGAGTGATTCTAAGGTTACTCCATGCATGAGACTGTGTGTGTGTGCACGTGAGACAGAGAAACCAGAGGATTGACCATGATTAAGTGACTCAAAGGCTCTTTAGGTGCAGGCATTATTGGATAGGTGGTTGGGGGTGGAAACAGGACTCTGGGGCTGGGCTCCAGAACCGTGGGGGAGCTGGGAGCTCCCTCTGCCTTTGGGTCCGCCAGTGCCTCACAGTACAGAGAGGTTACAAAACACCGAACTGCAGGTATTTCTTGCCCCCACAGGCCAGCGAGCAGGAGCCCCAGGTAGGATGGCTTTGCGGGAGCCCCAGGGGTTCTCGGTAGAGTCGGGCGGCAAGAGCTCCGCTGGTTGCAGACACACAAGCGGTGGCGGGAGACCCGTGCCCCACCCCGCAGGGGGCTCGCTGGGATTTCCCGCGCGAAGCCCCGGGCTCCGGGGAGCAGGACACAGAGAGCAGCGCAGGAAGTAACGCGCTGAACCGGCGGCCCGGGGACCCTCCCAGCCTGGAGCCGGCTGCGGGGCGCCATCGCCGGGCTTTGAGAACAGGCGGGTCTGGGCGACTCGACGCCGCCGCAGCGAGGGGCGGGCCCCGCCGGCCTCTCGGGCCCCGCCCGGCCCAGGGCCGCGCCGCGCCCAGCAGGGCAGGGCCCGCCAGGCTGCCGGGGCCGCGGAGGCCCGGGGCCCAGCGAGGGCAGCCAGAGGCCCCGCCCGCACGAGGCCGGAGGAGGGGCGCGACGTCCCAGCATGCACTGCGTGGAAGGGGTCGGCAAGACCGGGGACGGTGCCCCATCATGCAGCGGGGCAGGAGGCCTGATGTCCCGGCATGCACTGTGGCAGGCTTCCCATCATGCATTGGGCGGCAGGGGTCGGAGGCCCGCCTGTCCCGGAGCCTGTCTCCCCAGCCCCGAGCCCCCGTACTCACGATGAAGGAGGCCATGTCCGGGCCGGCCGCGGCGCCGGGCGGCTACTCACGGAAACCACAGCCCAGGGCCGCACGGTACCGGCCTCCGAGCACGCTCGGGCAGCTTCGGCAACGCTCGGGCCCTTCCGCCTCCCCGGGTTCGGGAAGCTTCGGTGAAACTCGGGCCCTTCCGCCTCGGAGCATTGGCCGGCTCCGGAGCGTTCGGGAACTTCCGGCTCCACTCGGGGCAGTCCGGCTGCTACGACTGGGAGCCGCTCAGGGGGCCTGCCGGGGGCAGGGGCCGCCCGGGCTGGGCCGGGCCTGTCCGTGCGGGGCCGGGGCCACCTGGCAGCCCCCCACAACTAACCCCACGCCCAGCCCCCCAAACTCAGCCAGAGCCCCAGCCCCCCATAACTAACCCAATGCCACTCCCAGCCCCCCGAACTCAGCCAGAGCCCCAGCCCCCCACAACTAACCCAACCCCACGCCCAGCCCCCCAAACTCAGCCAGAGCCCCAGCCCCCCCACAACTAACCCAACCCCACGCCCAGCCCCCCAAACTCAGCCAGAGCCCCAGCCCCCCCCACAACTAACCCAACGCCACGCCCAGCCCCCCAAACTCAGCCAGAGCCCCAGCCCCCCCATAACTAACCCAACCCCACGCCCAGCCCCCCAAACTCAGCCAGAGCCCCAGCCCCCCCACACCCACAACTAACCCCACGCCCAGCCCCCCAAACTCAGCCAGAGCCCCAGCCCCCCCATAACTAACCCAATGCCACTCCCAGCCCCCCCCAAACTCAGCCAGAGCCCCAGCCCCCCCACAACTAATCCAACCCCACGCCCAGCCCCCCAAACTCAGCCAGAGCCCAGCCCCCCACAACTAACCCAATGCCACTCCCAGCCCCCCAAACTCAGCCAGAGCCCCAGCCCCCCCACAACTAACCCAACCCCACGCCCAGCCCCCCAAACTCAGCCAGAGCCCCAGCCCCCCCCACAACTAACCCAACCCCACGCCCAGCCCCCCAAACTCAGCCAGAGCCCCAGCCCCCCCCACAACTAACCCAACCCCACGCCCAGCCCCCCAAACTCAGCCAGAGCCCCAGCCCCCCCACAACTAACCCAACGCCACTCCCAGCCCCCCCAAACTCAGCCAGAGCCCCAGCCCCCCACAACTAACCCAACCCCACGCCCAGCCCCCCAAACTCAGCCAGAGCCCCAGCCCCCCCACAACTAACCCAACCCCACGCCCAGCCCCCCAAACTCAGCCAGAGCCCCAGCCCCCCACAACTAACCCAACCCCACGCCCAGCCCCCCAAACTCAGCCAGAGCCCCAGCCCCCCCCACAACTAGCCCAACCCCACGCCCAGCCCCCCCAAACTCAGCCAGAGCCCCAGCCCCCCCACAACTAACCCAACCCCACGCCCAGCCCCCAAACTCAGCCAGAGCCCCAGCCCCCCCCACAACTAACCCAACCCCACGCCCAGCCCCCAAACTCAGCCAGAGCCCCAGCCCCCCCCCACAACTAACCCAACCCCACGCCCAGCCCCCCAAACTCAGCCAGAGCCCCAGCCCCCCCCCCACAACTAACCCAACCCCACGCCCAGCCCCCCAAACTCAGCCAGAGCCCCAGCCCCCCCCCCAACTAACCCAACGCCACTCCCAGCCCCCTGAACTCAGCCAGAGCCCCAGACCCCCACAACTAACCCAACGCCACTCCCAGCCCCCCAAACTCAGCCAGAGCCCCAGCCCCCCCCACAACTAACCCAACCCCACGCCCAGCCCCCCGAACTCAGCCAGAGCCCCAGCCCCCCCCACAACTAACCCATAGAATCATAGAATCATAGAATATAAGGGTTGGAAGGGACCCCGGAAGGTCATCTAGTCCAACCCCCTGCTCAAAGCAGGACCAATTCCCAGTTAAATCATCCCAGCCAGGGCTTTGTCAAGCCTGACCTTAAAAACCTCTAAGGAAGGAGATTCTACCACCTCCCTAGGTAACGCATTCCAGTGTTTCACCACCCTCATAGTGAAAAAGTTTTTCCTAATATCCAATCTAAACCTCCCCCACTGTAACTTGAGACCATTTCCTTATTTCCCCCACAACTAACCCAACCCCACGCCCAGCCCCCCAAACTCAGCCAGAGCCCCAGCCCCCCCCACAACTAACCCAACGCCACGCCCAGCCCCCCAAACTCAGCCAGAGCCCCAGCCCCCCCCACAACTAACCCAACCCCACGCCCAGCCCCCCGAACTCAGCCAGAGCCCCAGCCCCCCCCACAACTAACCCAACGCCACTCCCAGCCCCCTGAACTCAGCCAGAGCCCCAGACCCCCACAACTAACCCAACGCCACTCCCAGCCCCCCGAACTCAGCCAGAGTCACAGCCCCCCCACAACTAACCCAACCCCACCCCACGCCCAGCCCCCCAAACTCAGCCAGAGCCCCAGCCCCCCCCACAACTAACCCAACCCCACGCCCAGCCCCCCAAACTCAGCCAGAGCCCCAGCCCCCCCCCCAACTAACCCAACCCCACGCCCAGCCCCCCAAACTCAGCCAGAGCCCCAGCCCCCCCCCCACAACTAACCCAACGCCACGCCCAGCCCCCCAAACTCAGCCAGAGCCCCAGCCCCCCCCCCCACAACTAACCCAACGCCACGCCCAGCCCCCCAAACTCAGCCAGAGCCCCAGCCCCCCCACAACTAACCCAACCCCACGCCCAGCCCCCCGAACTCAGCCAGAGCCCCAGCCCCCCCACAACTAACCCAACGCCACTCCCAGCCCCCTGAACTCAGCCAGAGCCCCAGACCCCCACAACTAACCCAACGCCACTCCCAGCCCCCCGAACTCAGCCAGAGTCACAGCCCCCCCACAACTAACCCAACCCCACGCCCAGCCCCCCCCCCCCCCCCCCTACCCACCCCACGCCCCCCCCCCCAACTCAGCCAGAGCCCCAGCCCCCCACAACTAACCCAACCCCACGCCCAGCCCCCCACAACTAACCCAACCCCACGCCCAGCCCCCCAAACTCAGCCAGAGCCCCAGCCCCCCACAACTAACCCAACCCCACGCCCAGCCCCCTGAACTCTGCCAGAGCCCCAGCCCCCCACACAACTAACCCAACCCCACGCCCAGCCCCCCGAACTCAGCCAGATCCCAGCCCCGCACAACTAACCCAACCCCACGCCCAGCCCCCCGAACTCAGCCAGAGGCCCAGCCCCCCCACAACTAACCCAACCCCACGCCCAGCCCCCCAAACTCAGCCAGAGCCCCAGCCCCCCCACATCTAACCCAACCCCCTGAACTCAGCCAGAGCCCCAGCCCCCCCACAGCTAACCCAACCCCACGCCCAGCCCCCCGAACTCAGCCAGAGCCCCAGCCCTCCAAAGCCACAGCTCCCCCATCATTAAGGCTCGTTTTAGTCATGGCCAGATATTTTTAGTAAGTCATGGACAGGTTAGTGGCAGTAAACAAACATTCACAGCCTGTGACCTGTCCATGACTTGTACTATATACCCCTGACTAAAACAGGGGCTTTGGGTGCTCGGGGGGCAGTCCGGGGATGCTGCAGGTGCTGGGGGGGAGGCGGATGGTGAGGGCAGCCCGGGACCTCCACTGATGCTAGCAGGGGGATTGGCAGGGGCTGCTAGGCTCCCTACCCGGCTCTGCGTGTCCCTGCAGCTCCTAGCCCTCATAGGAGGGAAGGCCAGGGGGCTCCCTGGAATCCCCACACTGCCTCCGCCATGAGCTGCGGGGGCTCTCTGGTCCCTCTATGTAGGAGCTGCAGGGACATGCCGGCCACTTTGCTGCCCCGCACCCCAACCCCCTGCCCCAGACCTGAGCCCCCTCCCGCACCCAAACTGCCCGAGCAGTGTCCGGTGCTGCTGGCCCAGGGACTGCCCCGATCCGCTCGGGCAGCCCTGGAGCCAGCGTCACTGGCTGCTGTAGAAGTCACAGAGGTCACGGAATCCATGCAGCTTTACCTATAAATGGTGCCGGTAACGCTGATGAAGAATGCGGCAACGTAGGTCATTTGGACTGAACTGCTTAAGCCTTATACAGCAGTTGGACAAAATATTTGTGCCTGGCTGTATAAGGCTTAATCAGTTCAGTCCAAACAACCTAGGTTACTGCATTCTTCACCAGTATTTCCCACACAATTTAGGGCACCCCACCTTTACTCTAAATTGTGTGGATTACACCAGACCGAATCCCAGAACCCCACACTCCCAGCCCCCCCGCCTAGCCTCAGCTCCGTCCCGCCAACCCCAGAACTCCAACTCTCCCACACCTAACCACAGGCCTCAGCTGCCAGCCCACAATCCCATCCATTCAGCTGCAGAGCATGGGAGCTGGAGATACTCTACTACAGCCTGGCCTGGCAGCCTTGCTGCAGGCTGTGGAGAATTCATGCCCAATTGTCATCTTTGCCTTGACTGATGAGATAATGCAGGGCTGAGTTGCTTTCTTTGAGTTAAAATTTAAATAAAACTTTAAAAAAAGCTGATCCGTGATTTGGGGATGGGGGTTAAAAATGTTAATAAAAAATGCAAAGTCATGCCTCTTGCAGTAGAATAGAAACATTCAAATAATGCAGCTGCTGGGCTCTGCTGTCTTTCATGAACAGCTTTGAGAATTTATAGGTGTATAGAAGCCACAGGAGGGCTCCCCTACTGAATTAAAAAACAGAATTTCAAGTTAAAAAAATAAACCATGCAATAAAAGCACTTCAGCCGTCAAACCTAGTTCTTAACAGGA